ATGTTGACCAAAACCCTAAAAGTCAACGAAAGTCAACAGGGGTAGTACGCGGCGCGTACCAACTCTTGTACGCGGGGCGTACTCCGGTGATCCAGAATCGGGGTCTCAGACCCTTACGCTGCGCGTATTGAGATTTACGCCCAGCGTAAGTCTCAGTTTCATGCATTCAGGGATTTTGGTCTTAAACGGTTAAGACATAAACTCAAACTCCAAATCTGACTTCTCTAAGACCACTTAATCCATAAAGTCGAGACCTTTAAGCCTTTGCATGGCTGTAAAGGTCCCTAATCACTTTAACACCTTTCCTTCTTCCTCATAAAGTCTAGATCTCATGCATGGCTCAATATTCACGTCCAAGATTGGATTTTTATGAACCTACAACTCATTTTACTCTGAAATGTGGCAGATCTAGGCTTATGGAGACCATTTGCTCATAAAGTCTCCACCTTGGGACCAAAAACCTTAAAAATTGGTCCAAGAAGCACAAATCACAAATGACAAGGAAAGCTTTGAGCTTTTTACCTCAGAAGGAAGCTCCAACCTCTGAAGAACTCGGATCTACTCTTGTCCACCAACTTCTAGCTCCTACAATGGCCTCCCCTTCTCCTTCACCACCTTGAAATGGCACTTTGAAGCTTAGAACACACACACACAAGCTAGGAACGAAGGGTATCTCTCTATTAGGGTTTCACTCTCTGAAATGGTGGCTGAGAATAAGGCCTTAACATTCCTTTTATAGTGCACAAGCCACAATTTAGGGTTTGCATATGGGCCGGTTACGCCCGACGTAACCTTGGGTACGCCCAGCGTACCTAGGCGAGTCCGCGTCCAACTTAAGCGCATGAGTACGCGCAACGTACTCTTCAGTACGCCCAGCGTACTCATTTGCCTAATATTTCCTTTAAGGGCCAAACTTGCCAACTTGGAACAGAAGAAGGGTATAAGAGATGTACCTGAATTTCGGGATGTTACAGTTGATGTACACACATGTTCTTCAACAATTTTGCAACGTAATCATCGACAAGCAAACAAATAATGTAGCGTGTAACTAACCCGTTCATCAAATTTTGTTTGGAATACTGCAGGCTCCTCAAAACTGATGTTATTCCATAGATCTTCATTATTCACTTCTTCAACAAATACCTCTGTAGGTTCTCGGTTCGTAAACACATGTTGCTCCAGTGCATGTAGTTGTTTCAACACCTCCTTTAGGCTGGGTTTTCCACTGCGCCCACCTCTACCATGAGAGCGACCACTAGACGACATACTAGACGAAGATTCGTCTTGTCTCCTAAAATGGTCCCGTACTGGGGATGGAACTGATTTCCGTTCACCATATACATACTCTTGAAATGACATATAATAAAAAGATGTCATCTCATCATCACTCGGTGACATTTTATTTCTTGGTGGTTGTCCCTCCTAAAAAATTGAACATATTAAAAATGCATATAAAAGTATAATAATGAATTTTATTAATAATTAAAAAAAAATTATAAACCTGTATCTTTGAAAAAATCTTGTTCACATCAACCCATTTCAATTTTTTTGTCCCGCTCCATCGTTTCATCCGAGGCATGTCTCTATTTTTTCTCAATACAAATTCACAGGTACGAACAGCCGGAAGCATCTCATATATCCATATCTACAATTTTTACAATTATAGTAATAAAAGTTAAAATTAAAATAACTAACATAACAATCAAACCATTTAAATATAAGTAAATTTTTATACCCTAATTGGAGCCGTAAATCTTGAGACGTGTATTTTAAAGTTTGACGACGCTCAGGAAGTGATAAATATTTATTTATCTTGTTCCATGTATCCTCAAGGTCATCATACGTAAAATCCCATAAATAGCTACCCCAAGCGAAACTAACAAAACAAAAAAAAATTAGTTATAATATAAACTAGAAAAGGACAGGCGGCTCCGCCGCTTTTTAAAGTTGCCAAAGTTGGGTAAATATAGTGGCAAAATTCTAAAAGAGGTTTTTTTGTGTTTTTTAATCAAAATGTAAAAGTTTTGACTACAATGACGAAAAATGTCAAATTCATTAAAGCTTTGTGGCAAAAACACCAAAATGTAAAACTTTTTACTGTAAGGACTAAAAGTGCCAAAGTCACTAAAGATTTGTGGCAAAAACCTAAAGTCATAAAAACTTAATCAAAACATAAAAATGTAAAAGTTTTGATTTTAGGGACAAAAAATGTCAAATGAACCAAACATTTGTGGCAAAAACCTAAAATCAAAAAATTTACTGTTACTAAGATCCTTTGGATTTAATATATATATATATATATATATATATATATATATATATATATATATATATATATATATATATATATAATTAACATTAATAATATAAAACTTTCAAAGTAAAAAAAAAATACCTGTTCCAAACATCCAAATTCTCAGCAAAAAAAAACCAACCTTGTGGCACGCGATCATTTATTTCTTTTCCCAAAAAACATTCACATAAAATGTAAATCAAACATACTCTAACTGCATCGGCATCGTCAACTTCTAAGAATGGTTGATTTAAAATAAAACTTTTCAGGTCGCCGATATTCACCGAACTATTTGTATGGTTCGGAAATAGCCGCTCACGCAATAAACATCTTTTTTTACTACTAACTATTTTTTCTGACAATTTTTTCCCGATGTTTTTTGGATACTCCGCAAATTTCAACCCGGTTATCAAACAAAACTCTTCCGGCCCATATACCATTTTCGTATCGCCTACTCTAAAATATAACCGTTTTATTTCATCTAGAGATAAAACAGCGTCCGACCGTATCTGATGAAGGAATATTTTGTGGAACAGCAATCCGTCCCCTTGTAAACGAGGGACGTCCAACAAGTGAGCAAATAATGTATCTCTAAATATATCACGTCTCACACCATCTAACACTTCAAATATTTCTCATATGTTACACCCCGATCCTTTTAAGTTTACAATAGCTTTCACATCGAAATTATTATAATTATGCTGCAAAAAACACAATAACATATTAGAAAACTAAACAACTATTTCATTTTAAAATATATGATTATTAAATGTAATAATAACATAAACAATAATAACAATGCAAATACAAATATTTAATAAATAATTTATATATTTACGCTAAAAAACAATAACATACTATAACAATTTTTCAACTTAAACGGCAACTATATAAACAATTTTTCAAGTTATACGACAAATATACAAACGATTTTTATCTTTCTAATTATATCAAATAACATTTTCTAACCATATAAACAAACAAATGTTCAACTAAAACGACAACTAAATTAACAATTTTTCAACTTATACGACAAATATACAAACAATTTTTAACTTTCAAATTATATAAAATAACATATTCTAACCATGCTATATCAATTTATCAACTTAAACCACTAACCAAACATACTGTAAACATTATTCTAACAATTTATTTAATTAATAACTTCAAAAAATAAGCATATTCTAACCATTTTACTAAATGTACAACTACCCGATGCACACTCTACGCAGTCTCTACTTGTACATTCATACAACCACTAACAAAATAACATTTAAAGTTCAAGTTTACTAATAACAAATATTAAAACTATCAAATACAACAAAATTACCCTATCACAAACAATATAATTTCTTTTTTTTACACTAACTAATACAATAAATAATAAAATAATAGACATATACTAAATAAATGTTAATTAAAACATAAAAAGAGTTAAAATCTAACCATATTTTCGGGGTTGTTGAAGTAATAGTTCATTTTTTTCAAGAAATCGTCAAAAGGAATCCCCGAGAGAGAGAGTTTTTCTATATTGAAGAGTGAAAAATGAGGAAAAAAAATCGTTTTATAGATTTTCAGAATGAAAATCGCAGATGAACAGTTCAAATCGCAGATGTACTTTTCCATCTACGAATGTACAAGTACCTAAAGCACAACTGTGCTTTAAGTACTTGTACATTTGCAGATGGAAAGCCAAAATCGCAGATGGGGCATTTCCATCTGCGAATTTAGAGGTTATTTTTGCAATTTCTATTTTTTTTGGCTAAATTTGTAAGGTAATTAATGTATTTGGCTAATTTTGTAATTTTCTCTAAAAAATATGGCTAAACTTCTCCTTTTATAAAAAAAAAAATAAATAAATAAAAAATAATAATAAAAATTGTATGGTCCATTCCCAAGTCCAATTTACGATCAGGCCCGTCCCACAGTTTTTGCTGAACTATATAATACATCAAAATCTACAATTTGCAAAAAAAGGTGGTATTTGTTTTTTGCTAAAAATGGCTTCGCCCGGGTTCGAACCGGAGACCTTCAGTGTGTTAGACTGACGTGATAACCAGCTACACCACGAAACCTTTTTTGAAGTTACAACTAAACTATATGAATTAAAAGGTTTCAAAAAAGCAAAAAGTAATCAAGTAGGGACGGGATTTTATTGGTTCTATGTTTCTTAGAAATTCAGTTTTGGTTCGATGCATGTGTCATGTGTGACGTGTCTACCTTGAACGTCATTTTTGACGCTTGCTTGAAAAGTTCGAAGGCTCTACCATCAGTCAATATTAATATTCTTTTGTATTTCTAACTAATTTTATTTTGAGGGTTTTTAAAAATAAAGTTTAATTTTTTATTAAAACCCATTACCAAATATTTGTAATCCTTTGTGGTTAACTGTTTTTATTTTGCTTAAATGAAACAGTTCTTATACCGTTTTAATATTTTTTTAGTTAAAAAAAACACCCACCCAAACCCCACCCCTCATTTTGAAATACAAACGACGTCTCCTCTGTTTTCCATCTACCTCCTTCTCCTTCTAGACATCCTTCCGTTTGTTTTGAACATTCTGGCCATTTTAGTGAAATCCCCCAAAAAGAATTTGACCATTTCAAATTATTCATTTATTTGTAATAATGGTCTTTGTGGCAATCTTGAAGGCATAAAATTCCAAGTTCCCAGTCTAAAGGAAGGTTGCAAAAACGTGTTTTCCTTCTACTTATATGTTTTCTATTGCTGATATTTTCAGTTATACCCTTTAGAATATTTTATTTAGAAAGACCTATATATATATATATACCATTTCTCCTCAAATCCCGCGCAACAAGTCGCCTTCAAAAAATTACAAGTTGTATTCATCATCATTGATCATTCAATCCTTAGCTCGACATTGCAAAAAGTTACGCCCAATTGACGGAATCAATGGATAGTTCAAGACAATCTTTGATTCCGAGCTATCTATACTCCAATTCGTTGAAAAATCGATTCGACTTCGAGAAATTGGCGGCAAATCAACAGAGTTCTTATGATACTTTGTTGCCCTCGCTTTCTGAATCACCGGATGTTGCGAGTAGAGGTTTTGTGGTACAGGCTCCTAGCGAGCCAGGTAAAATTAAGATGTTCTCGCCGGCGGCTTATGCAGCCTGTGCTGTTGGTGGTAGTTTGAGTTGCGGGAGCACTCACACCGGCATCACTCCGCTAGATGTCGTCAAATGTAATATGCAGGTCATTCTCCACCCGGCTCTTTTGATTGGATGTATGTGTACTTTTAAGGCTCGATATAATAAGACCTGTAGTGATTTGATCATGATTTAGTAGTGGAACTTATTGATCTTTGAATTTTATTTTTGTTTCTTCATTCATATGATGGTATTAGGTTTGGAAACCTTGCGATTAACTTGTGAAAGTGTGTAGATGTCTAGATTTGACTTCAATTTAGTTGTGGCTTCAGAAAACATAGAGCTAGATAGTCTTCTGTATTTCCTAATGTCTGTGAAACGAGTTAAACTCACACGAGACTAATAATTTCAAACATTTCGTGAATGGGGTTTAGCATATGTAATCAGTATTGTCATTTTGTCTATAGCTTGACAATTCAATGTGTATTTACAGATTGACCCTGCAAAGTACAAGAACATTTCATCAGGATTCGGGGTATTATTGAAGGAGCAAGGAATCAAAGGATTTTATAAGGGCTGGGCACCAACACTAGTTGGTTACAGTGCACAGGGTGCTTGCAAGTTTGGGTTTTATGAATACTTTAAGAAAACCTACTCTGACATTGCTGGCCCTGAGTATGCAACCAAGTATAAAACATTGATTTACCTTGCTGGTTCTGCATCAGCTGAAGTTATTGCCTGTGTTGCCCTTTGCCCTTTTGAAGCTGTTAAAGTTCGTGTTCAAACACAGCCTGGATTTGCCAAGGGCCTATCTGATGGTCTTCCAAAGATCATCAAGGCTGAAGGTGTTGCAGGGTATGAATTAACCACTCTACAAAACCAACTTTAAAATCTGAAAGGATTGATTTTCTGACTTGTCATATATTTTTATGTGTACAGACTATACAAGGGGCTAACTCCTCTTTTAGGCCGCCAAATTCCATGTGAGTTCATAATTAATTATAATACCCATTTTTTTAAATGCTCTTTTATGTCATTTTATATTTTCCAGCTAGTTTTTACTTTTTTACCAAGCATTATTTTTTTTATTCAAACATAGCCTTAATCAATGAATATTGAATGACATGTTTTGTAAGCATTAGCATAATGATCCATGAAACATATTGATTTTCAGACACAATGATGAAGTTTGGATCTTTTGAGACAATTGTGGAGATGGCATACAAGTATGCGATTCCTACACCAAAAGAGCAATGTAGCAAGAGTTTTCAGCTTGGAGTAAGCTTTGCTGGTGGTTATGCTGCTGGTATACTCTGTGCTGTGGTTTCTCACCCAGCTGACAATTTGGTCTCTTTCCTCAACAATTCCCAGGGTGCTACTGTTGGAGATGTCAGTATATCATTTCAACTTTAATGTTTTATTATTTAACTCTTCATGATCTGTTTGCATTAAGCTGTGATATAAGCATGCAGGCTGTTAAGAAGCTAGGCATGTGGGGCCTATTTACTCGTGGACTACCACTTCGTATTCTTATGATTGGAACTCTTACGGGTACACAATGGGGTATCTATGACGCCTTCAAAGTTTTCGTTGGGCTGTGAGTTTCTTCTTAAAAAACAACACAATCTAAACCATATTTTAAAAAGGAAGATTAAAACTCCCATCTTATCTGACTTTTGGCTTCTTTTCAGGCCGACTACTGGTGCTGCTCCTCCTGCAAACTAACCCGCCACGTGGCATGACAGAATTAAGCGATTTTGTATCTCAAAGGACAAAGAGAACGATTGGAATTCAATAAATAAATAGGTAGAAATGTTATATATATATACACGCTACTTTCGATTCTTAGTGAGTATATGCTTACAATTATAGGCAACAAAATAAGCACCATTTATGTGTAGTAACTTAAGTAATTGTGCACCTTTTGTAAAGGGACATTCTTTAGCTTGTAATCTGCTATTTCATAATAATATCATTGATTTTAGAAAGGCGAGGCGAAGGCTGCAAAGAAGTTGAACTTGTGTTAACTCTATGAGAATAAATGTTATGGGGTTCAGAGTTTTACAAAAAGAACGAAGTTTGAGCTTATAATAACTGGACTGGATTCCTTTTTGAGCTTCTTGATCCAAAGATTGGATATTTATGGAGTATGATTGGACAACCAAGCCCGGCCCATATGTATTTCTAGAGTTGAAATCGAATGCTTGATAGTTTTAGGGTTGAAATCAAATACGGAATCTTGATGTGATTGTACACATTATTACAAAATCAATAAACTTCTCTACTCCGTCTGTAGATGTACCACGATCACCCTAATCGTGTGCATTACCTAATCTTGTGATTGACAAAACAAAAATCTTGTGATTGACAAAACAAAGGGATTTTGGAAAACCAAATTATGTTTTCAAATTTGGAAGCACATATTTATCTCATGTCGTTAAAGAAAATTAGAATGTATCATTATCATTATATACAACCATGCATGTGAATACAAGATGACAACTATACAAGATTAGACAAGATGACAACTACATAATTGATAGTACACTGCAACATGAATCACATGTTTAATATATTTGCGTCATACTCGCATCCAAGTTTAAATTTCTTTATTCAACAATTTTTATAGAATTTTTATGTTACTGAAGCCTTCTAGTTAATGTTTCTCTATCGAACATAGTTTTCATAGATATTTTCAAGTTCATCAAGCTCTTAAACATTCTTTGGGCCAAGCTCCAGTGGCACAACAAAATTTGATTTACAAATTTCCTACACAAAATTTTGGATAAAAAAATATATTACAACTCAACCACAAGAAATACGGGTATAAAAACGTAAATGAAATGGTCATGGAAACCAAAAACGATGTTAAGGGAGGTTCATTTAAACCTAGGTGGTTGGATGAGGATATGTCAATTTCCTTCAAAATCGCTTTGACACTAGGTCCACTATATCAACTCACACTAGGTTCACACTCATGACTTGACCATGGATAATGAAAGGAAGTATTGAGATGGAGATGCGACATGAAACTAATAAAAGATGTAATGATTGGAAATATGTAACACCATAATTTTTCAAAAACAAGATAATCGAAGACATTTCTATTATTGTCTTTAACAATAAATCCAAAGACTGTTACGTCTTTCTAAAACTCCTACACTGTATTCATATCCAAACATTTTCTTTACCTGTTCTAATACCGTGTGTTATAAGATTCTCTGGGTTGTGCACATTTAAAACTCTAACTGTGTAAGCCTAGACCTAATGAATTTATAATTTTCATGCAAACATGAACGCAAACCTAAGGGGTATCTAACTTGAGGTGCCTTTCTCCCCAAACAACAAACTTACCACATTTATATTGAATGACATTTTTTCTTACCAAAAAATCATTTTTAAACAAAAATCAACTGAACACCAATTTAGTTTAGTACAAAAAGAAATTATTCGAGATCCAAGAGACCTTCGTTTTACCCGAAAACTATTATTCAGATATTATCAGTAGCAAATCTAAAATCTAAAAACACATGGTTCCCTAACAGCAAGTATGGATATTTTGAGAATTATTTTTCTTTGTGACCTCCTGTTGACTGTACGCATCACATATTTCCTCATTAAAAAAAAATAAAAAATCATTTTTAAAAAAGGTTTAATAAATCTTTCAGACCCGGTTTGAATTTGGAATCACACGAATATTCATTTAAATTTCTCAAATCAAGGCTCTGATATCAACTTGTAATGTCTCAAACTTCAAACCAAAAATTTCTTTTTAAAATAAGAGTAAAACAACCAAACCCATTTTTCTTAAAAGCCAAAGTATTAATTTGTTTCATTATAAAAAAACCATAATATAAAATTTTATCGAGATTATCATAAAAACAAAGAAAGTCTAAAACATAGATAATCAACGATGCGAGTCAAGCTGGGCTCTTCCCCCGATCAACGAAACTATCTAAAAAATATTTAATCCACAACTGTAAACATAAATCTTAATGAATCTCCCAAGATACCACATACAATAATACACATACAATGATACACATACAATGCATACAAACAAATGACTCATAACCTATCATTGTTCCTCCCTTAACAGTTGACTCACATCCTATCACTGTTTTGTCAAGAACGTTGGGTATCTAGACTCACAACCTATTTTTGTTCTGTTGTCATGTGACATATTTATTTTCTCGGCCATTTTAAAACTTTTTATTTATACTTATTTAAAGCAGAGTTTATTTATAAATGCAGAATTTGTCCCATAAAAAGTATTTCTGAAGAAATATTTTTCATTAATTTATAAAAGCGTGGGATGTTATCACTGATACAAAACATAAGCATAAACATGTCTTATAGTATCTTAGACTAACAGTCTACATCTCCTTGAATCTCTCATCTTTTGTGTACCTTTGTACCTCTACCTGTGATACAAAAGAAGTTGAGAGGGTTAGGTTGGAAAACCTGGTGAGTAGATAGGATTTTCAACACACAATAATATAGTTAATATGTTTCATTATCAAACAATTAACCCGATTACTCATCCCCATTTTCTTCTATATTTATTCTAAGATCCTCCCCTAAGGATCATCGCCTACATCGCCATTTCTTATATAATCATCACCAATCATTGCATTATATATTTTCATCATTAAGGGCTTCTCCTAATACTCATCACCTATCATCGTAGTTTATATTTCCATCGCTAAGAACTTTTCCTAATGTTCATCGCATAATCATCGCATTGAATACATGGTTCTTACATCGTATGAACTCGTAATTCGTTGGTAGAGTACATCACATGAATACATGGTTCTTACATCGCCTGAACTCGTAATTCGTTGGTAGAGTAAATCGCATGAATACACAGTTGTTACATCACCTAAACTCGTAATTCGTCGGTAGAGTACATCGCATGAATACACGGTTCGTGCATCGCCTAAACTTGTAAATTCATCGCCTACAGGTTGCAAACATGCCAGTTTTCCATTGGATTGTTTAGATTAGTCTGTGGTCGCTATCTATACTCTAGTAGATGTCTACATCGCAATCATCATGAGTAAGGGTCAGGGCATCTCCTTGTCACACCGTAAATTTTCAAACAAAATTTTCATTTTGAAATCACATAATTCTCATTAACACATTTCACAAAAATCCCAAAGTATCAAATTAATAAAGACACATATCCATTATAAAAATCCAGGATCCTCAAACATAACTCCATCTCGTGTGTACAATCCAGCCGGCGCCTTCCCACGATCCTGAGAAGTACCTGAAACACATATCACATAACACGGTAAGCACAAAGCTTAGTGAGTTCCCCAAAATACCACATACACAAATAATAAGCCTCTCATGGCTATAGCTCGGCATGGACCCTCCGGTCATGCATCTCGGTGAGGACCCTCCGGTCTCATGGCTCGGTGTGGACCCTCCGGTCATGTGTCTCAGTGAGGACCCTCCGGTCTCACAGCTCGGGTTGGACCCTCCGGTCCTGTATCTCAGTGAGGACCCTCCGGTCTCACAGCTCGGGTTGGACCATCCGGTCCGATCTTAGAATGCACAAAATAATATAGCATATATCACAAAGACATAATGCAGGATATCACAATACTCAATATAAACACATAAGACCCTCCGGTCATAAAAAGATTACCACTCTAGGTAAGTATAGTGAGAAGACTCACCTCGGATGATGAACAGCTCCTATAGATGTTGTTGTTGCACTCCGGCCTCTAACACTAAACCAAAACCCATAATTACCCAATTAAGATCTAAGACCAAACCTCACTCATTAGGTCTAAAGATAGCTCACTACCCGACCCACAATTGGGCCCACCAAGGCCTAATACTAAATGGGCTCTCCCAAGGCCCAACTCTTAAACTTAAGTCCAAATGGCAAGTCCAACACAAAGGCCCAAGACATACACAATATTCCTCTGATCAAAATCTCCAACACAATAGGCCCAACACTTAAGGCCCAATGTGGGTTTTAGCCCAAAAAGCCCACAACAAGGTTACGTGGGGCGTACCTCCCTTGGTACGCTCAGCGTACGCATGAATCCAGATCGGGCCATTAGGGACACTTGATCAGTACGCAGGGCGTACTGGATTTACGCTCTGCGTACGTCCAGACTTTCTTTTTCCACTCTCTTGGTCTTAACCCGTTAAGACCATAGCTATACTCTCAGATCTGGACTCCTTAAAGGCTCATACTCCATAAAGTTCATGACTTTAAGCCTTTGCATGGCTGATAAAGTCCCAAACCCAAATACACTCACTCTTTACTCCCAAAAATTCTCATATCTCATGCATGGGGTGGCTTTAACGTCCAAGACCTCATTTTTATGAATCCTCTCCACTAGAAACACTTAAAAGGACATATATTAGGCTCTGGAGTTCAACAACTCATAAAGCTTCAAGCTTTGGGACAAAAAACCCTAAAATGGACCATAATATGCTCAAATCAAAAAGGATGAGAAAGCTTTGAGCTTTATACCTTCAAATGATGTTCCAACCACAAAAAAGCTCAAATCCAAAGCCTGGACTCCGACTCCATTCTCTTCCATGCTCATTCTTCACTCCAAGGGTACCACAAGAACACTTAAAAGCTCACAAATGGACACTCAAGCTAGAGGAATGAGTATTAGAGTTTTGAGAGGGTTGAAGGCTGGAAATGGTGGCCAGAAATGAGGCCATCATATTCTTTAAATAGGGACACCCCCTCATTAGGGTTTCACCCTGTGCCTAGTACGCCCAGCGTACCCTCTAGTACGCCCAGCGTACTAGGTGGCTCCGCTTCAAATTCAAGCGCATGAGTACACTAAGCGTACACATACGTATGCCCCACATATTCAGTTGCCACCTTTCTCAAATAAGGGACCTATCTTGCCAAAACTTCAAACTATCATAGTTTCCTCGTTAAAGTCTGTTTCCAATGAACCTCATATCCACGTAAAGGTGGCGAGAAGCCCTACGCTTCTAGCAACTCGTCG